TTACTCCGCGCCCCACGCCAAACCCACCGGCGCCCTCGCCCTGACGTCACGGCAGCGCCCCGCCCCCATCACTCGTCAGGCAGAAGCTCCGCCCCCACCAACAGCACAGAGTACACAGGTTCGCGTCCCGCGCCCGTCCACGGGACAGGGCTGCCTGGAAAAACCTGTTAATTAATGATGTTGTTAATGGGAGACGAGTAAGAACCAACGGGTTGTTGCCGGATGGCAACTACCCTGCTCAGCTTTGAAACGGAACAACCGCAGAGATACAGTGATGTCATTAGATACACCACTTGCAACTAAACCCACCAGCTTGTAAACAAAAATCTCAGGGAATAAAAAGGAACTATGCAGTTCCTTTATTATTTTCCTGTAAAATTGTCAGAGAAAAGTAGCTGTAAACAAACAGAAGCTGTATTCAGTGAGGAACAGTAATTTTATTTAAATCTACCTCATGCGTAAGCATGACAGAACCCCAATTCAACTTTGGCAGGTATCACGACAAAAAAACCCAAGCAGCTATGCAGAACAGTGAAAACGCCAAGGATACGGGTTCTCCACAGTTTCACTGCAGAGCAAATGGATTCAGAAGCCTCACTTTGGCTACATCACGTATCACCATATCATTAAATAAAGGTAATCTTATCACTTCTTGACTTCTCCAAGATCTTCAATGCTATCATCATCCACCTAGGGGAAAAAAGGCCAAAACTCAGCATATTAAATGTATTTTCTTCTCACATCTCTCACTCCATATTCACCACACAACACATAATGAAGTGTGGGAGAAGTATACAGCACCACCCAAGATTCCCCGCTGTGAATTCTCCACGAGTGACACGTGCCTGTGGGACACGGCCGCACCTACGGGGCTCTGAATAACGACGGGTCTACAGAGCCGTTTCAGAGAACTCCAAGACCAGAAATATCAGAGCAAGGGGGAGTCAAAAACCTCCTTGTGATTACAGCAGCACAACCAAACCTCTCAGTCACCAGCATCTCAGTCCAACCCAAAGTTGGCTAATCTCTTCTTCCGAAGGCCAAGTGGGTTGGTTTCTTTTTTTCCTTTAATTTTACAATATTTTAATGTATTTTGAAAAAAATCAGATGGGAATGTAGGGATACTTAGACATTTGCTGTTAAAAATGGTCACAAAGAAGCCACAGATACTTGACAGCTGGACTTTTTCCGACACGCCTTCCTCGCTGCAGTATCCGCAGCAGCAGCACTACACCTTTAGGGTGTCAACGTTTCAAACCCTTTTACAAAATCATGGGAACATCACAGGCTGTAGTGGGAACCTGGAGTTCTGATAGAAGAAAGGGTTTATTACCTCAGGCCACTTCTCCTGGATTACATCGATAATGTCATCCGTAAAATCCCCCTGAATGATGATTTCGTCTTCTCCTGTTACTGAGGCACCGCAGGAAAACTTCTGAGCAAAAAACCTTTGTGCTTCCTTAAGATCAATTTCTGTTGATAGGAAAACGGGCAGTTGAAGCACAGTCATTGTCATAAAAGTATTTTGTGAAGTTTAAAACCAAAATCTTCTCTTGAACTAGTAGCAGTTTACAGTTAATGCTTCGCTACAGCTCCCATGGAAAGCAAAGGCCTGTTGTTTACACAGAAACAACGGGCTCTGCAGACCTAGTGTCCTCTTTGCACTCGGGCTGTCTATGCGCCCCCCAGAAAAGCACCTGCAGAACTGACTGAAAACCCCTCCAGTTCTGGATAACTTCCATAGTTACTGAACAAGTTTTTCCATAGAAGTGCTTCAGTACGTTCCTTTTGGAAACACGTCCCAGCAATGTTCGGGACTGGCTTCCAGCACGAAAACACATATTCACTTCACATCAAACCAGTGCGTATTACTGACCCCTCCAGAAAACTGGCAATGTTATGTGTTTCCTGCCTGAGAGAGTGTCTTGTTAATACAATTAAGGTTAAAACGTACCTTTTTCACAGAATTCGTGATCAATGTGTGAAGTAAGATGCTGTTATAAACACCAAGTGGCTGTTTGCAGCTGAACCAAAGCTATGTAGGACACAATTTTTACTGTAGAATCCAAGAAGGGTTTAAGTTGGAAGGGACCTTAAAGATCATCCAGTTCCAAACCCCCTGCCATGGGCAGGGACACCTTCCACGAGACCAGGTTGCTTCAAGCCTCATCCAGCCTGGCCTTGGACACTTCCAGGGATGGGGCATCCACAGCTTCCCTGGACAACCTGTTCCAGTGCCTCCCCACCCTCTTCGGGAAGATCCCAAGATCCAATCTCAATCTCCCCACTTTCAATTTAGACCCGTTGCCCCTTGTCCTGTCATTACAGGCCCCTGTAAAAAGTCCCCCCTCAGCTTCCTTGTAGCCCCTTCAGGTACTGGAAGGCGCTATAATGTCTACCCGGAGCCTCCTCCAGGCTGAAGAAGCCCAACTCTCTCAGCCTGTCCCCATGGCAGAGGGGCTCCAGCCCTCTGAGCATCTCCATGGCCTCCTCTGGACTCGCTCCAACTGGTCTATATCCTTCTGATGTTGTGGGTTCCACAGCTGGATGCAGCACTCCAGGTGGGGTCTCACAAGAGCAGAGCAGAGGGGGAGAATCCCCTCCCTTGACCTGCTGGTCACGCTTCTGATACAGCCCAGGACACAGTTGGCTTTCTGGGCTGCCAGCGCACACGGCTGGCTCACGTTCAGCTTTTCGTCCACCAGTACCCCCAAGCCCTTCTCCTCAGGGCTGCTCTCTCTGTATTTTGGTAATAATCTGCCTGCCTTCCTGGAAAGGCAGTTAAAGCCTTACATAGCCTCAAGAATAAGTAAAAAATAATTGTCAATAACATTTACAGGTGTGATGGAGATAAGCATCTTTCTGAAAATAAACATGTTTATCATTTAAGACAATCGACTTCTCTGAAGTCTAATGAGTGGACTGCTATGGGAAGCCCTCTTTAAAAACAACCCCGTATTTCTATTTGTTTGCAAACACTGTGGAAACAAGTTCAATAATGTACCCCTGAGGGAAGCCAGCGCACCCTCAGCACTCTTTGGAGCTGCTAACAGCACCCTGGGGCTTTCACCTCACCCTGATGGAAGCGGATCGCTCAATGCAAAACCACTGGAAAAAGTATCATGAGGTTAAAGGCAAGGGCACCTAAACCCAACAAAACCCACGTAACACGAGTCAACTCACCAAACGTTGCAAGGCCACATACTCTTGTGACATATTTTTTCTTTGCTCTGGGAATTTTAGCTATTGTAACCTTCTGTGGTACAGTTTTCTTTTTCTGTTTTATCTGACCTCTTCCACCTTTAAAACAGAGCGTAAGGTTACATAATTAGTTCAACGATGTCACACTTTAGCAAAGGAAAAAGCATACGGTCAGATTTCTGCACTCTTACTAAGTTTTTCCTCACTCTCTCAAGGTCACTCTTGTACCATCATACTTAACACTATACCATAAGTTTTCATGAAACTTCAGATTCTAGGAGAAAACGCTTAAATATTTTAAACACTATTGGTTTAGAATTAAAAAAAAAATCAGACCGAAAACTAACCATTCCACTCCACACAATAAATTAACATTGCAAGAAAACATCCTGAAGCCTCTGGGAAAAGCATCCAAGCTACTGAACATAAATTCCTGTTGCCACTGCACATGGCCGACCGACACAAAAAAGTCCCATCTGCAGTGACATGTGGCTCAAAATCTGAATCTCACTGGGCTATTTCTGAAGCACTACAGGCAAACACATATTAACAACCCCAGCATTCCTATTTACAGTGGAAAGTACGTAATCCACTGAACGGAATTCCAGCGGTAGAAGATGAAAGTGTGTTTAAATTGTTTCACGTATTTTGTCTCTTCCAAAGTTGTTTTTTTGAAATCGATTTTCATTAGTATTGCTGGGAAGAGACACAGCTGTCAATGGAGACATAGGTGAGAGCATTAACAGCATAAAACCAAATCCTGTTACGGGAATACAGCGTGGGTGGAAGGAAAAAAGGCAAAAGCAGTGTCATGAGGCGTTATGAGAGGAAAGCAGCCTTTGTTCTACTCTGCAAGCAACCTATAAACAGCTATTAAACAGGGCAGAAACAAGTATACCGGGAGGCGTGCCAGCTGATTTTAGGTTGGGAAGAATTACTCCCCGAGTAAGTGCAATAGCAAGGTCAGGCACAATGGGTCATCTCTCCCTCACTATTACTACGGCCCAGTTCTCTCATCAGCACGCAGCACCTCGCTAACTCTGCTACCACGGCAAGAAAGAAACTGGGCATCTCCTGCGCAGAATCAAGCGTAGCTAACAGCCAGAACACAAGTAACTCGTCCCATCGCCCAGACCAGCAGGCGAGAAAGAGATGCCCCAAACCGCTTATAAAGCAGTACCACAATCAACTAGTTAGACCTTGCCTCTCTTTTGCTTCTTCTTCTCTTCCTCTTCTCCCGCAGTTCCTTGGCCTTCTCCAATGCCAGCTTCGGGTTTAGGTGAATTTTCTTAAATACATCAGACGGGAGTGGGGAGAAGAAAGAGAACAAAATTAGTGGCTAGACAACCACAGCCTTGCAGGAACAGGAAGCAAGTTACAGTGATATTTTGCTAAATCTGTAAACTCTTTGGTTAAGTGCAGGAGCCCCTTGACCGATGCGTGTTACATCTTCGTTGCCGTCATTACGCAAACTAGCCTTCAGTAAAGCCTTAGCTCAGGGTAGTCATTACTGCAATACAGCCTCTTCACATAATTTCCAGAGAGACAGAAATTAACGATGGCGTTAATATTGAAATTCCAAACACAGATCGACAACTTCGCTGTTATTAATGACCTTTCCTCCAGCCACCCACAGTAGAATCGACATACAAAATCCCATAAACTAACACAAACAAGTGCATGGATAGCTGGTTACAGCCGGTACCTTAAAGTTCAAACACTATTGCTGAAACTACACGTTCATTTGGTGTTTTCTCACATTATCAAACATTGTCACAGCATCCAAAAGCATGGTAGACTCCTAAGAAAATGGTTAACTTTCACACCTGATACAGCAGGAAAAGGGAAGAGATGAGAATTTGACAAGCTCAGATTTCTGAGTATGTCTAAGTGCACGTATCAGAAAATAGAAAAGATCCTTACCTACTGTAAGTTTTGCAAACTCATCTGGAAAGTTCTTTTCTAACCACTGTCTGCATTTGGTCACATCAGGCATGTATTCACAGTACTAGAGAAGAAAGGTCACATGAATGTTGTCAGCGGAGCAACTACAATACACATCACTAATACACCCAAATAGAATTGCTATCCAGCTCAGTCATTTCTCCTTAGGATGACGGAATACGAATGCCGTGCTAGTGCACAAGAAACCTTGTGTCATCCTACAGATGATGGTGGCTGAAGCACATAACTGCCCCAGTTGAGAAAAGCCAGAAAAGATCAGAAAGAATCATCATGGTCAGGAATCATAGGACAGAAAGAAGAAACTCTGACAACAACAAAAAATTAACTCACCTCTGTTGGCAATGAACAGACTGGAGAAAAAAGGGGAAAAAAATAGATTACAAACAGAAGTTTTCTACTTAGAGCCTTAGCGTTAAATTCAAAATGGTATTTTAAAGTATGAAATAACATAACTTCTGATTATAACCACACACTGACTCAAAAAGATGCTTTATTGATACCACTAAACATTTTAAGTTGTCTCCCATTAGCTACTTGGTCACATGCTCTGCATTGGGATAAAACTATCACAGCAAGAGCAGCCAGTCAGTGAAGGAAGGGAAGGAGGTGCCTACAGCTTTGGGAGAAGCTACAGCAAGAAACACCAGTTCTACCCCAGGCAAAAGATACCCTTAATAAATTACCACGTGATCTGGTTAGCCCTCCTTCTTCCAAGAGCTGCCAAGGGCCAGAAGAGGCGCTCAGCCCCAGAGCAAACCCAAACCAGTCGTGCAGACTTTCATGCACGACAGGGATTCTTTTCTAATCCCCTGCAACTGTACTCAAGCCCAAAGCAAAGCAACACACATATCTAACAAACTACCTGACACGATTTACTTCCCTTTAAATTCCACCCACATCACTACAACTGTAATGAGTAAAGAATAATTCTAAACACCCTGCAACGATTACTTGGCTTTACTGCCTTTCTGCAGGAAGAGATCTCTGTGCCACAGTTCACGCTCCAAGCACCACTCCCACTTCTTTTGCACGCAGGAAGCTGCCAGTACCTACATCTCCCAGAGGGAAGACCCCTACATTCACCACAAACACCTCAAATAAAATAGAGCACACAAGCTGTTTCAGAAAGACGATCAGAGGGTCAAGTTGACCGTGGTTTAGCTCCTCAAAAAAGCTGACGAAAAGCAAATCTCTGATTCTCTCTTGCTTTCTGCTAGGCTGCCCTCACAAACAGCACACTAAGAATCATGGACAGCTGCCCCTTCAGCACTTGCCTCCGCAGTAGAGAACCCGAAGAGGATAGTCGGCATCTGACCTGGCACCGCTCCTTACGTCCCCTCTGCAGTCAGGGACCACAGGCTCAGCTACATCTGTGGCCATGTCACCAGCCTGGAGGTCACAGAAGGGAAGAATCAGGACCTATGTTCTGGACTAAAGTTATTCACATCATTCCCAGCTCAACAAGAATCCCAGGGACTGACAAATCCCAGAGAAAATAGGCACAATCATTAAGCAGAGCAGGAGAGATCAGGGAGGAAAGAATAACAAGAAATAATGAAAAAAATATGGGGGAAATGGCTGCAAAAGATGCCAAGCAGTATGGAATTATAGCACATTGGAGAAAAAAAAGCAGTGCCACAAAACGCATGTGAAATCAAGGAAGATCTGTAAGACCATCGCATGGAATTACAGCATGTGCTGGGTTAAGCAAAATGTAAAGCATCATAGACTCATAGGATGGTTTGGGTTGAAAGGGACCTTAAAGATCATCCAGTTTCAACCCCCTGCCATGGGCAGGGACACCTTCCATGAGACCAGGTTGCTCAAAGCCTCGTCCAGCCCAGCCTTGGACACTTCCAGGGATGGGGCATCCGCATCATGTTAAATCAGTGGCACACGAACAGTGGGTGCCCTGGGAGAGTGCAGGGAGGTGCTGCCAGTACACTAGCAAAGAAAAGGGGTCATTTAAATCAACATCTGAAGAGTTACAATCTGATCTTAGGACACTGGCAAAAAAACCCCAAACACCAAAAACCAAGCAAACCAAGCTCAACGCACTGACGAATTTAATAATGGTTTATACACACACGTTTTCATGCAAGGGAAGTAGAAAACAGGAGTCAAGAGGGAAGGGGTTTGCGAGTGCGAGCGGGATGCATGCGTGACAACTCGGCCCCAGGATGCTGTAGGGGCTGTGCCTGGGTAGTGAAGGGTGCGGAGGGAAAATGCCAGGGCACCGGAGGGTGGCGGGGGGGCGCTGGGAAAGGCGGTAGGTAGTCACAGAGGGAAAGGAAGGATGCTGGAGCACCCATGGAGACCCCGAATGGGGAGGGAGGGTGCTGGATGAGAGTGAGGGCAGGTCGGGGGGAAGGGTGCTGGGGTACCGGAGAGGATGGGGCTCACAGACATGGTGGAACGAGGAGGCAGAGCTGAGGGAAAGGCGGGCGGCGGGTACCGGAGGGGCAGGCTCGCAGTGCGGGGGAGCGGCGGGTACCGGCGGGGGGGGATGCTGAGGTACAAGAGGCGAGGGGGATCACGGCGAGGGGACGCAGAGCCGCAGTGACAGAGAAGAGGGAGG